TGTATATATAAAATAATAGGTATACTTCATGTGCATATTTAATACTATTAAAGATTGGTCATTAAATTTACATGTAGCAAAGGATATTATTATTATGTATTTTATGTAAAAGAATGTTACTGAAAAAAACATATGCGTAGCATTTATTATGCATTCTGCTTCATAATAAAGAATTCACATCTACGTTTTACCATTAATTAAACATATCATTTTCAATAAAAGTTTTAAAAAGATAAATTATTTTATTTCTTTCTCCAACAATGTTGTGATATTTTTTATTAATATTAATAAAGAAAACCAAATTCCTGTGATTAAAAACAAATTTTATATTGTTTTAAAGTTGTATACATATATAAAAGCTTGTAAATAGTATGTGTAATGTTGAAAATACAAAGAAAAAATATTTTTTACAACCAATGGTATTTTTTTGAAGCTTTAGGAATGATACTTTGAAAAAAATTATATCAAAAGAAAGCTGAAGATTTTTTCTTACAAGTATGAAAATTTTAAGATTAATTTGTGAATTTTTGGTGTACAATATGTACATGTTTCACGCTTTATTTATTTTTACTAATAAATACTAGTAATTTCATAGGGGCAACAGTTTTGAAATTGACAAATATATATGTGTAACATTCAGCTGTCCCCCCCATATTTTTACTTACCCCTAGGTACTAGCCAGTGTTGGAAATTTGATGATCCCATGATCTGCAAAAAAATTTTGTGCACATTATGATCAAGAGTTTTTATTTAATATAAAATTTACAAATTATAAAATAAATAATTTATCTCCTATTTTTTTTTATTTTCCCAACATTCATATGCTTTCTTAAAATTAAAATTTTCGATTTCAGGTCCATTTAATAAAATCATTAAATGACTGTGTAATGTATCAATATTCTTCTTGTTTCTCGATCTATTCTTAATCAATTTTGTTTGAGAAAATATTCTTTCTACATTAGCATTTGAAAGAGGTATGATAAGAGCTATTCTAACTAGGAGAGATACATTTGGGTAATTAAATGAAAAATTTTCATCTGTGTCAAAAATAAATTTCCAGAAATTAATAAAATCTATTTCTTTAGATTTATTAAGCTGGAGAATATATTTTACTAATACCATTCTTCAATGAGTTTGTTTTTTTCAATAATTTCTTGAAATTCTTCTTCATCCATGGTTTTAATTTCTCCATAAAATTTACCAAGAAATTCTATTTCTTTTTTTCCATACAAGCTTAGTTGGTCATCATTATCTGGAATTTCTTTTGGATCAAAAATGCTAAATGAACTATATAATTCTGTTTGTGGAAATCTTTTCTGGATAGCATTAATTATTGCAATTGAATATTCTTTAACAAATAATGGAGAATTGTGATTATAATGATTTAAATATTATCTGAAAATGGAACCATTGTTAGGTGGAAATTCTTCATTACCAACAAATTCATACTCTATTGCTTTAATTGTATTATCAAGATTTTTTTTAAATTGTGAAATATATTGATTAATTTTTTTAGAATATTTGTTAAATCAGCAAAATACATTGTTGCTAAAATAAAATCTTGATCTAACTGATCATACAATAATTGAGCTTGTCTATCACCTTCTTTGGCATCATCATCAAGGGCTGCAAGTACATAATCCATAATCCTATATAAATTACTAACAGAATTAGAAAAGGACAACCATCAAGTGTCACATAAATTTAATATTACTAGTGATGGTTCATCATTAATATCCTGCATCATTTTTAACAAGTTTTGTCTCTTATATGATTTAGAAAAAAATGCATATAGATTTTTTAAGGTTTTTTCATATTTTTCAAAATACAAAACTTCGCTTGAAGCATCTTTGCCAGCCAGATGAAGTCTGTGTGATATACAATGATTAGATGATATGAATGGATTTGTTTTTTTAAGCCTTGCACTAACATCACTTTTATAACCAGTCATATTAGATGCACCATCACTTCCAAAATGAATTATTCTTTGAGAAGATATTTCTTTATCATTACAAAATGATATTATTTGATTAAAAATATTTTCTCCATCTGTTGATTCTAAATTAATTATTCTAAATATCTCATATATGGTATATTATTCACCATATATTTTCCTATTATTGATAGTATTTCATCAGGAAAACGTGTTTTTTGATACACATATTATATGTATATTATACATGTATTATTTTACATTACAGGTGATCTGCATATAATATATGTATAATTCATGTGTAATTTATGGACATGTGTATTATATGTATATTATATGTGGATCACCTGTAATGTAAAAAAATAATACACATATAATAAACATATAATACGTGTATCAAAAAAAACACATTTTCCTGATGAGGGGGAGGTGCATGGCCCTGGAGTTTACTGAGACTAAAGATGGCTCCTCAATTAGTTGCAACTAATTGCGGCATATAAAAATTAAATTGCGGTTGCGGTTGCAGCATATGAAGATTGAATTGTGGCTAATTGCAGTTCCCATCTTTATTCATGATTAATGATGCTATTTTTAATAAAATAAATATTTCATGGCCAAAAAACATACAATGATAAATAGACCAAAAAATTGCAAGGGTTGAGCAAGTATTTGTGATTTGATTTTTACAATGTAATAATGATATACACATGTTTATATGATTTGGATAAAATTCTGCATTTGACAATCTTCAAAAACACGTGACCATACAAATTTTATTGCATTTTTGATTGGAAATTTTTTTCTCAAAAAATGGCAGTGTAGCACAAAAAGTTCAGTGACTAAGTGACTTGCACTATATAAGAATTGTTTTCAAAATCTTTCCGAATTAGATTGTAGTTCTTCCTATAATAATGATTTTTTTTATAAATTGCATTTAGCATGCAAAAACATTCAAGTGTTAAGAATTGACTTTGGTAAATATTGTACAGGTTATACAGGTTTATCTAAGCTAATTCAGCATCAAAATAAAATCAAGAGTTTGACACTTAACACCAGTAAAGATATAAAATTACCAGATAATATTACTAATGCATTATTGAAGCATTCGCAGTCAATTGTTGATTATTGTAGTGGTGAATATAATAATAATTTTGATTATCATGTATCATCATTTAAAAATTTAAGGAAATTATATTTAAGTAGCGGAACATGGTACAATCAATCTTATCAGGTAACTGACAATTTAACAGATGCATTGCTGCCAAACATTCAAACCTTCATTTTAAAAATCAGTTCTCAGAAAACTCTATCAAACATATCAAGTTTCATCAGAATCAGTGGCAAAAATCTTAGTACTTTAGTAGTTAAAGGGGAACCGGATGATGTAGACCATTTACAGGAACTACTTCAATCAATTGCTCAATCTTGTCATAAATTAAAACGATTATCATTATTATATGATAGTGAATTTGATCAAGAATTAGGTAAAATACTTGTCAATTGTGTCTATTTGGAGACACTTTCATTAAAATATATTCACTTTGGAGGTCTGGATGGAAAATCATTTTTTAATGTGTTAGTTCAAACATTACCAAAAAATTAAGAGAAATTATATTCAGAGAAATACCAAGTATTGATGATGATATGTTACAAATGTTAATGATAAATTGGAAGGGGCCTAAACCATTGTCAATAAAAATTTTTCAGCTTTTTTTTGGAGAATCTGTATCATTGAAATTAAAAAATTTACTTGACAAATATCAAGATTCAGGATTCTTGGAATATAATATTGGATGTGTTTCATTTGAAGAATCTGTTTGGTACCATGATGATTGTTAAAATAGTAAAATAATAAAAACAGTATTTAATCAACATCAACTTTGAGTAGTGTTGGTCACCAAAACTATTTTGAAGAGGCGAAAGTCAAAACTAAAATTAAAAGTTATATGTCAAAACTAAATCAAAAGTCAATAGTCAAAAAATCAAAATTAGTTTTGACTTTTGGCAAAACCTTTTGACTTTTACATGGTTGCGATGCTCTCTAGTTTTGGGAAACCAACACTAGCTTTGAGATTAATTAATAGTAAATAATTGAAAAAATTTATTTATCTAATGAATTTCAACAATTTGGAATAAATAAATTATTTATAGTAATAATTATTATTAAAAAGTTATTTGTCATTCTTTTCAAATGTTTATTTCAAAGGGTAATAGATGGTGGTGGTGGAGATTCCCACTCCCAATTATGATATGGCAAAAGTAATTGATTAATTTTTTCATAAACCTTAATCTCCAGATCAGATAAACAATGATCTTTTTCACCATTCTTCCTAGCCATAACTCTATTAAAAATTGAAACCACATCATCAAATTCATCCATATTTGATAATCCAACAACTGTAGAATCAGCTTTATCCCAATCTAATGAGAAATCAATACCCAACTTTGAAATATAGTGCCAATCATCTAAAGACATCACAAAATGTTGCCAGTCTTTAAATGCTGATACTTCACTAAATATGGGCTATTTTACCAAAAACTCTCTATTTTTGCAATCTTCTGGACATGA